AGTGCTTCTGTTTCTTGGAGAATTGAATTGAAAGAATGTATTGTTTGAAACTATTGTAGAAAGCAACAAAGGTTGGCCTCTTACCAGAAAATGTACATGAGTGGATATGATACTTTGACATTAATAATAATAGATTAATTAGGTAGATCGAATTTTTTTGTAATTGAGAATCAAACAAGCCAAACAAAACATTCTTCCAATGCAAAATAAAGTGTTTATCAATGTAATTGTGAATATAGTCACACAATTTCTGCCAACAAAATACTACAGTTTGACAATTCCAGAACAGATGCACAATAGTTTCAGGACATTCTCTACAAAAGCTACATTCAGAATCAATATTTTTCTTAAATCTATTTTTGATATAAGTTTTAGTTGGGTAGAACCTATGGATAAGTTTGAAGGATACTTCTTTTATTTTGTTAGTAATTAAATACCTGTTGGGTAGAAGCCAGTGGTAGGTCATCCACAAACACATTCCAGTATGAAACGACTTTGGGTTTTACTAATAACTCTTTTTGAAACATAGCTCTTACAGCTCGATTATTATTGATTGGATTATTGGTGAGGCAAACCTTCCCTGCAGGGAAGTCTTTAAGTGATGAAACACTTCGCTCTTCAGTATCAATCCTACTTACATTTTTAAATAACATACACACACCTGAGGGAATGGCTCCAAAAACTTTTGCATAGTCACCCTGAGTAACAGGAATGTTATATTTTCCAAGAAATTCTCTATATGTAAGCAATAGTCCTTCCTCATTAAATAGTTGGTCAACCCATATAATGTTGTTTTGAAAGCAGTAATCCAAAAAGAGAGATCTATGTTTATACAAAATGACTTTGTTATTCCAAATCAAGTAGTTGTGAGGAGAGAAATGATGCTTGTAGATGAGAGACCATGAGAGAAAAGCCTGACATTTTCACAGGGATCTTATCAACATCAAAATTACAGATAAGAAAAAAGTTCATGCCTCCTAGTTTTGATAATAAATATGAAGGAATAGTGTTCCAAATAGAAGTGGGATTTCTGAAAACTTGCTTTATCCAATTTATCTTAAATGTATTATTTAGAGTTTGAAAATCTAAAAGGTAATTTTCCACCATTGTCGTAAGGATTCATAACAACAGCCTTTCTCAAATAATGTGTCCTGTTTTTCCACATAAAGTCAAAAAGTACTTTATCAATTTCCTTGACAGTTTTGTCAGTAAGATGCAAAGCTAAAGCAGCATGTTAATCGTGAGATTCCCTCCGCCTTTGTGAGGAGGACTCTCCCTCTTAAAGATAAATCTCGTACGAGCCATTGATTTAATTTTTTCTTTGTTTTCTGAATGATTATATTGAAGTTGGAAGTGCTTCTTTTGTTTTGATCCTTGGTGATAAGAATACCCAAGTACTGCACTTCACTCCTAAGAGGAATGCCGTAAAGTTCAGTTTTCTTACATTCTTTAATTGCCATAAGTTCACATTTTTTAATATTTAGGCACAGGCCAGAGGCTTTCGAGAAATCTTGGATAACACTGATAGCTGCTGATATTTGGTTTTCATTTTTTAGAAATAATGTAGTGTCGTCTGCTAATTGTGTTATGATAAGTTCTTTGCCGAGGAAAGCGATGCCTTCTACAGCTCTGGCTCTAATATGATAAGCCAGAAGTTGTGCTACAAGTAAGAAGAGGAAGGGACTTGAAGGGCACCCTTGTCTTATGCCACGATAAAGGTTAAATCTTGGAGATGTGCCATGTGAGAGTTTGATGGAGCTATTACAATTTGTATACAACATTTTTATGGCAGAGGAGAAGTAATTACCAAAACCAAATTTCCTCAAAGACTGTAATATGAACTGGTGCTCCACCGTATCGAATGCCTTGTAAAAGTCTAGGAACAAAATAAAGCCATTATCTTCCAGTAATTCAGCATAATCAAGAACATCCATGACCAACCTAATATTATTTGTTATGTGTCTTTTAGTCATAAATCCTGACTGTGTTTCTTCAATAATTGAATCTAATACTTTCTTCAGCCTTTTTGCAAAAATTGAGGCAAAAACTTTATAATCATTAGTGCGTGAGGCACAGCGCCGCAACAACAAACGTCTCCCATGACGTCACCAGAGCAAAAGATCCACGTGACGAGATTCAGCTGCTTCAGTTTATTAAAGCTCAAAGAGAAAACAAAAGGAGATAAATATGTAGATAAATGTAAATAAATATGTAGATAAATGTAGATAAATATGTAGATAAATGTAAATAAATATGTAGATAAATGTAGATAAATGTAGATATAAATGTATATAAACATTTAGAAAAGGTCAGAGTGACGTGAAGAGTCCAGGTTGAGTTATTTCCCGTCATGTTTATGATCACTGAATATTTGTAGCTTCATGAGACGAGGAAAATAGAAGATATAGAACATATAGAACATATAGAAGATATAGAAGATATAGAAGATATAGAACATATAGAAGATATAGAACATATAGAAGATATAGATATAGAACATATAGAAGATATAGAAGATATAGAACATATAGAACATAGAAGATATAGAACATATAGAAGATATATAGAGGATATATAGATCATATAGGATATAAAGGATATAAAGGATATAAAGGATATAGATCCATGAGAGGAGGATTCTGGGACATATACGTCAGAGTTCTGGAGCAGATCCATGAGGAGGTGTGTCTGTCTTGAGTTTCCTTCACATTCAGCTCTGTTCCAGTTTAAACGTCTCTTGTGGATTCGAGTTCCCAGGTTCAGATGGAGAAACGTTCCTCTGTGGATCCTGTGTTTAGAGTTTGGAAAGACACTAAATGTTTGTTCTAATGTTTCTTCTGTTTCCTTTTTCTGTCCTCGTCCTCCTCGACTCAGAGAGAAGATTTATTTCTCACCTGCAGAAAGAAAATGAAATCACAGGAATTAACCCAAAGTCCCCAGTGTCACAGGTGAGAGCGCCACCTGCTGGAGCTTCATCTGGTACTCACCCCAACACTCACCTGTCACACTGAAGCACAGATAATACTCCCTACAACTGCACAAGTCACTCTTATGGAACAGATAATACTCCCTACAACTGCACAAGTCACTCTTATGGAACAGATAATACTCCCTACAACTGTACAAGTCACTCTTATGGAACAGATAATACTCCCTACAACTGTACAACTCACCTTTATGTCACAGATAATACTCCCTACAACTGCACAAGTCACTCTTATGGAACAGATAATACTCCCTACAACTGCACAAGTCACTCTTATGGAACAGATAATACTCCCTACAACTGCACAAGTCACTCTTATGGAACAGATAATACTCCCTACAACTGCACAAGTCACTCTTATGGAACAGATAATACTCCCTACAACTGCACAAGTCACTCTTATGGAACAGATAATACTCCCTACAACTGCACAAGTCACTCTTATGGAACAGATAATACTCCCTACAACTGTACAAGTCACTCTTATGGAACAGATAATACTCCCTACAACTGCACAAGTCACTCTTATGGAACAGATAATACTCCCTACAACTGTACAAACTCACCTTTATGTAACAGATAATACTCCCTACAACTGTACAAGTCACTCTTATGGAACAGATAATGCTCCCTACAACTGTACAACAACTCAACCTTAAGTGTTAGATGTGTGATTTTATATTTTATTTATTATAGGAATTTATTATAACTTTTTATATATTTTATTCTTTGTTATTATATTATATTATATTTATTATATTATATTATATATATATTATATATATTATATATTATATATATATATATTATATTATATATATATTATCATTATATTATATTATATTATATTATTATATATTATATTATATTATATATATTATATAGATCGTTTCCTGGTGCATTAATAAAGTTTATCTGAGTGTAAATCAGGGTCAGAGTTTAGTTTTTTTATGGATTTATACGACTGTAAACGGAAAAAACATGAGCTCATTTATTTGGACAAAAGTGAAAAACACAAACGACAAAACCTGAAATAAAACACATTTAATATAAATGAGAACAAATGTGTGACTGTCACTGTCACAGTCCTGGTTTAGTCCTGGTTTAGTCCTGGTTTAGACCTGGTTTGGTTTAGTCCTGGTTTAGACCTGGTTTAGTCCTGGTTTAGTCCTGGTTTAGTCCTGGTTTAGTCCTGGTTTAGTCCTGGTTTAGTCCTGGTTTAGTCCTGGTTTAGTCCTGGTTTTAGTCCTGGTTCAGACCTGGTTTAGTCCTGGTTTAGTCCTGGTTTAGTCCTGGTTTAGTCCTGGTTTAGTCCTGGTTCAGACCTGGTTTAGTCCTGGTTTAGTCCTGGTTTAGTCCTGGTTTAGTCCTGGTTTAGTCCTGGTTTAGTCCTGGTTTAGTCCTGGTTAGTCTGGTTCCTGGTTCAGAGGTTCCTGGTTTAGTCCTGGTTTAGTCCTGGTTTAGTCAGACCTGGTTTAGTCCTGGTTTAGTCCTGGTTTAGTCCTGGTTTAGTCCTGGTTTAGACCTGGTTTAGTCCTGGTTTAGTCCTGGTTCTGGTTTAGTCCTGGTTTAGTCCTGGTTCCTGGTTTAGACCTGGTTTAGTCCTGGTTTAGGGTTTAGACCTGGTTTAGTCCTGGTTTAGTCCTGGTTTAGTCCCCTGGTTTAGTCAGACCTGGTTTAGTCCTGGTTTAGTCCTGGTTTAGTCCTGGTTTAGTCCTGGTTCAGACCTGGTTTAGTCCTCCTGGTT